GTACTGTCTGATTATCGTTTAAATATTGTTGTTTGTTTTTGTTGTTTTACACAACATTTTTTTGTCCTTAAAGTGACAACCATTTTACAAGTGATAGATTTTTTCTGTTCAGATTGTTGAATGTTCTGTTACCTCCACCCCACCCCTGTCGTCCCCCACCCTTCATCCCCCACCCCTGTCGTCCCCCACCCCTTCACCCCCCCTCCCTCCTTACATAGCACGCCCCTGCCACTGTGACCGTGAACACACAATCGATGGTTCCTGTACACTAAGACCCGCTCGATTACAATATTTCCGCCTGCACTGAGGTATCGATACTTTACGATTACGTTACGCGGCTGTTGTTGTTTTTTGACCCGTGTTGTGTGCGTTCTGTGAGTAGATACACGGTGTGTAGCTAGTGTGTTACACTTTGGATTAACACACGTGTGAGACGTGTGAGAGCGTCATGTAAACTTCATGGTGTGGGATAACTTCATCAGTCACGTGCCCTAACAGGTAAAGCAACGATATTGACATTTCAATTGGGTCATTTTATTGTTGACTTGGTTTGACTATAAGCGCTATAAAAACGTTCTCTACTTCTCTACTTTTCTGCTAAGTAATTTATTTATTTTTTAAAGTGTGAGTGAGATGCTATATTCTAGTAAAAATATGAATATTCTACAATGTGAAACGTTTAACAGAGTTTATAATGCAGATGTAGATGTAGTTGCTAATTAAAAAATTACATGTAGAACAGACAATTCGGCGAAACGTTGTTGTATACTTTGCTGTATACTTTGTTGTATACTTTGTTGTATACTGTGTTGTACACTGTGTTGTATATTTTGTTGTATATTTTGTTGTATATTTTGTTGTATACTAACGTCTGGCTAGATCCTACTAGCTACGGCTTCATGTTTTTCGCTAATAGTGGGTTCGGATCCGCCCTAGCGGACCCGCACAGATTTTCTACATTGTGTGTGAGGTGTGTGACAAATTGTGTGTAATGGTGTGTGACACACTGTGTGAGAAGGTGTGTGACACACTGTGTGTGTGAGAGATCATGTGTGACACATTGTGTGCGTGAGATAGTGTGCGACACATTGTTATACCCCTTTCATAAGACAAGACCATTTAAAGACCAGGTAAACTTACTTGACCTCAGACATACACACCTGACACAAACATACAACATACACACCTGACACACACATACAACATACACACCTGATACACACATACAACATACACACCTGACACACACATACACACCTGACACAACTTAACATACACACCTGACACACACATACACACCTGATACACACATACAACATACACACCTGACACACACATACACACCTGACACACCTAAACATACACACCTGACACATCTACAACATACACAACTGACACACACACATACAACATACACACCTGACACACACACATACAACATACTCACCTGACACACCTAAACATACACACCTGACACACACATACACACCTGATACACACATACAACATACACACCTGACACACACATACACACCTGACACACATACAACATACACATATACAACATACACACCTGACACACCTACATCATATACACCTAACACACACAGACGGCCATAAACAACACCTCCCATCTTTAAACAATCGAACGTTTGAAATTATCGATTAGCGTATGCCAGCAAACAAACAAAACTTGGCGAGCTGATCAAACTACTAGGGTTTAGCCTTTAATTGTAGAGCTACGAAATAAATTGTTCTAACCCTAATCCTCGACGGTCTAAGCTGTAGGGTTCATACGGGTGATTTAAGGACAATCTAAGCTGTAGGGTTATAATGGGTGGTTTAAGGACAATCTAAGTTGCAGGGTTCATACGGGTGGTTTAAGGACAATCTAAGCTGTAGGGTTCATACGGTTGGTTTAAGGACAATCTAAGCTGTAGGGTTCATACGGGTGATTTAAGGACAATCTAAGCTGTAGGGTTATAATGGGTGGTTTAAGGACAATCTAAGTTGCAGGGTTCATACGGGTGGTTTAAGGACAATCTAAGCTGTAGGGTTTAAATGGGTGTTTTAAGGACAATCTAAGCAGTAGTGTTTAAATGGGTGTTTTAAGGACAATCTAAGCTGCAGGGCTTACACTGGTGGTTTAAGGTTTATCCAACTCGCAGAGATTATATGTGATGTAGTTTGGTTTTATTGTAGTATAAACATGTGTTATACGATGTAAAGGGGTGAATAAACGTTTTATTCTAGTGTGTAAAGCATGAAACTGGTGTGTAAATAGTTAGATCTATTTTCCTAGTGTGTAATTATAAAACGGTTCTGTAATTATACAACTGGTGTGTAATTATACAACTGGTGTGTAATTATACAACTGGTGTGTAATTATACAACTGGTGTGTAATTATACAACTGGTGTGTAATTATACAACTGGTGTGTAATTATACAACTGGTGTGTAATTATACAACTGGTGTGTAATTATACAACTGGTGTGTAATTATACAACTGGTGTGTAATTATACAACTGGTGTGTAAATAGTTTGATCTATTTCCCTAGTGTGTAATTATACAACTGGTGTGTAAATAGTTTGATCTATTTCCCTAGTGTGTAATTATACAACTGGTGTGTAAATATTGTAGAAAAAAACGTGCGCTGTATTTTTGTTATAGATTGTAAATGTGTTTGTATGCTATTAGTATGTTGACTCTGTAAGTCTGTTATAGTCGAAAACAATATATATATATATATATATATATATATATATATATATATATATATATATATATATATATATATATATATATATATATATATATATATATATATATATATATATATATATTATATATATATATATATAATATATATATATATATATATATATATTCTAATATAAAAATGCCCATTTGCACACTTCTCTCATTCTCTCTGTGTCCGCACCATTTTTGAGGCGATGTGATCAGTATGTACAGCGATATATGGGGAACTTAAAGACAGAGGCGTAGCGACCCTTCCCGGCGCCCGGGGACAAACTTTTCGATTTGCACCCCCCCCCCCCCCCCCCCCCCCCCCGAGATTTTGATTTGCGCCCCCCCCCCCCCCCCGCCCTCAAACTTTCAATTTGCATCCCCTTCAACCTTTCAATTTATTTTTCCAACCCATTTTGGCGCCCCCTAAGCTCGGCGCCCGGGAACATATGTCCCCCCCCCTCGCTACGCTACTGCTTAAAGATACGGACTTTTGTTTAAAATAATATGCTGGATGTTATAAATATGTAAACTAAATTTTATTTAAAGAAGGTAAATTAAAAGAAATTTATATTCGAAAGAAGAAATACAATTTTAATTATGCCACCGGAAAAGAATTTATTGTTGTGAAAAGAAGCACCAAACAATGACGTGTTTAAACTATGGAAAGTACACAAACGCTAATGGCATTATCTTACGATTTTAAAATATAAAGAAATGAACTATTTCATTCAAATTTGAATGTATACAATTTTCTCGGCAAAAAAGTAATACAAACTACTTTAAGTAGTAGTTTTAACCAACAATTATGTTATTAAATATTGTTCTCAAACATGTTTAACATTAAAAATATATAGACCTAAAATTCACGTGTAACGGGTACCGATGGCTATATAATTTGTATACTACAAAAATAGATCTACACACCAGTTTCATGCGTACACACTAGAATAAAACGTTAATTCACGCCTTTACATGGACTTTTATCTATTTCAAACATCTTAGAACATTATTCTTTAAAAAAATTAGTTTCAAGCCTATTTGAGCCTAATTAAAAGTTTAATTGAAATTTTTAAAATTTATTTTTAAATTTAAACTCTTTAACTCCTTAATTAAAATTTACATGTTATGTTGCTATAAAAATGTGTATTTACATCAAATAAGTTTAAAATTTGTTGGGTTTTTTTTTTTGTTTTTTTTATATGTAAAACTGAGAGAAAATATATTTTAAATGTTTTTTTTATGTATTGGTATTCCTTTCGAATGCATAACCTTTAGTGAAGGATAGGATTTATAACATGAAATAATGTAAAAATGTAACTATTCAGATTTATATCCCAACTTGAAAGATGTATAAAAGCCCTTTATTATTTTTTAAAAGGGACAATGATTGCACAAAATTCCTTCGTCAATTTAAAAGAGTAATGTTTACAATCTTTAGCTGTAGTTTAGACACTCTATCTTACACTCTTACATTTTAATTTGCGGTATCGTTATAGACCATCACATTCAATGTAGGCCTATACTAGTTTCAGAAACAGGTGTATAAATTTTAGCATATGTTGTATGCAGTTAAGTAGGGTATATATATATATATATATATATATATATATATATATATATATATATATATATATATATATATATATATATGTGTGTGTGTGTGTGTGTGTAGCTATGTATATATATATATATATATATATATATATATATATATATATATATATATATATATATATATATATATATATATATATATATATATATATATATATATATATATATATATATATATATATGTGTGTGTGTGTGTGTGTGTAGCTATGTATATATATATATATATATATATATATATATATATATATATATATATATATATATATATATATATATATATATATATATATATATATATATATATATATATATATATGTGTGTGTGTGTGTATGTATATATATATATATGTATATACATATATATATATATATATATGTATATACATATATATATATATACATACACACACACACACATATATATATATATATATATATATATATATATATATATATATATATATATATATATATATATGTGTGTGTGTGTGTGTGTGTAGCTATGTATATATATATATATATATATATATATATATATATATATATATATATATATATATATATATATATATATATATATATATATATATATATATATATATATATATATATGTGTGTGTGTGTGTGTGTGTA